CCTCCAACTCCTGGGCTCAAGCCAGTCTCCTGCCTCAGCCTCCCAAGCAGCTGGGACTACAGGCGCCCGCCACAACGCCTGGCCATTTTTTTGGTTGCAGCCATCATTGTTGTTTGGTGGGCCCGGGCTGGGGATTCGAACCCACCACCTTAGGTGTATGTGGCTGGCACATTAGCCGCTTGAGCCACAGGCGCTGAGCCAGCTCATAATATTGACAATAATTTGAATATCCTGAGATAAAAATGGGTAAAATAAAAGAATAGGAAAATTACCTAGAAAAAATTCAAACTAATTATTGAAGACATGTGAAGTTAAAGAAACACTTTCTTTGTCCACATAAGCAAAAATTAGAAATTATAGGTAGTAACATCAGCCTATTAAAGAGGTTACCTCCATGGGATGGTATGGAAGGGGGGGGTAAAATTTTACTCTCTATCTCTGTAACATCTGCATTTGTACAGAACACACTGGTTTTGAAATTAATATTTTCAAAGATAAAAAATATCCCCTTTGCTAGGTATGGTGGCTCACGCCTGGAATCTTAGCATTCTGGGAGGCTAAGTTGGGTAGATTCCTTGAGCTCAGGAGTTCAAGACTAGCCTGAGCCAGAGCAAGACCCTGTCTCTACTAAAAATAAGAAAATTGGCCTGGCCTTGTAGAAGGTGCCTATAGTACCAGCTACTCAGGAGACTGAGTGAAGAGGATGTCTTAAGCCCATGAGTTTGAGGCTGCTGTGAGGTATGACGCCACAACAACTCTACCTATGGAGTCTCTAGGTGACAGAGACTCCATCTCCCCCCCCCCCAAAAAAAATTTCCCTCAAGAGAGATAAAACACAGTGAAACACAGGGTTCTTCAAGAGTGCAGAGAGAAGGCTTCAGATATACACTATTAGTGGAAATTGGTTCAATTTGCTGGAGTATAATTTGGAATTTTCTGTTTTAAAGCCTAAAAAGTATACATAGCCTTTAAACCAAAAATTCTAATTCTAGGAATTTTTCTTATGAAAACAAACAAATGCAGGCAGACGAATACACAAAGATGTACACTGACATGCTATTTCTTTCTTTCTTAGAGTGCTGGGTAGGGTGCTGTGGCATCACAGCTCACAGCAACCTCTAGCTCCTGGGGCTTAGGTGATTCTCTTGCCTCAGCTTCTGAGTAGCTAGGACTACAGGTGCCCGCCACAACGCCTGGCTATTTTTTTGTTGCAGTTTGGCCAGGGCTGGGTTTGAACCTGCCACCCTCAGTATATGGGGTCGGTGCCCTACCCCGAGTCACAGGCGCCAGTCAGACATGCTATTTCCACTAGCAAAACTGTGCATCCCGAGAGAGTAACACAGTGAGACCCCATCTCTACAACACACAGAAACACAGTCTGGGTGCCATGGCTTCATGCCTGTAATACTGTAAACCACTCTGGGAGGCCCAGGCAGAATAGCTGTTTTAGTTCAGGAGATCAATATCAGTCTAAGCAAGTACGAGACCCTGTCTCCACTAAAAATAGAAAAAATAAGCCCAGAGTTGTGGTGGGCACCAGAAATCTCATCTACTTGGGAGGCTGAGGCAAGTGGATTGTCTGAACCCAGGACTTTGAGGTTGCTGGGGGCCAGTCTGATGCCACAGGACTCTAGCCTTGGCAACAGAGTAAGAATCTGTTCCAAACAAATAGAAAAACTGGCTGGCATCATGCGGCGCTGCCTGTGGCTCAGTGGGTAGGGTGATGGCCCCATATACCGAGGGTTGCGGGCTCAAACCCAGCCCTGGCCAAAACTGCAACAATAACAACAAAATAGCTGGGCGCTGTGGCGGGCGCCTGTAGTCCCAGCTACTTGGGAGGCTGAGGCAAAAGAATCATCTAAGCCCAGGAGTTGGAGGTTGCTATGAGCTATGTGACACCATGGCA